GTACTTTCCCGCCCCAAATTAAAGTGAAAAATGGGGCCTACACTAACCCTGACCCGCCCCTAATGCCGCTGCCCCCGAGTAGACCGCACCCTCCCATTTGGACTCTTATCTTTCTTTGTTATCCACATTTTGTTGTTACCATCAATAAAATTGTCGGTATGGTCTAATCTTAAAACTTCGAACAGATCGATGCAAGTCGATGGCTGATATTTATCGTCAATTGAATGTTTTTTCTGGATTCCGTCGTGAATGATCCAACAGGATAATGTATTCTGGGTTCGGAGCGGGAGGCGTTTGTGGTTACTGCGGTGGGGTAAGATAACAAGAATTAAGATAATTGGAATGATAGGGTGAGGTGAGGAAGCTAAGAAGAGTAATAATCAGAGGGGGGAAGCTAGAGGCCTCAATCACGTCTGCTCTTAAAAATAAATAACTGTGGATACGCACAACAAAGCCTTTTGCCAATATTATAACAATAAAAAATAATTATTATTATTACTATTACTACTACTACTAATAATAATAATAATAATAGTAAAAAATAATAACAAATTTGAAGAACGAGATTTAAGAAAAGAAAAAGAAATGAAAAAGCAAAATGTTTAACAATGTTAGATAATATTTCAACAGAATTTCTTCTTCGCGTCATATTTGAACAATTTTTTCAAGTGTGAAAATATGTAAATCTAGAAAAAATTAACATTTATAGATCTAGGAGGAGACACGGTGGAGTAATGGATATCGGCTCTGACTAAGGAATCGAAGAAGCGAGTTCGGATTCCAGTCGAATCCATTACTCATGTGCTAATACCCTTGGGAAAGGAGTGAAGAGTATATATATATATATATATATATATATATATATATAAATTAACTGATTTAAAATATGTTTTTTTCGCTACACAGTTCTAACCATGTTTCAAAAATGGAAGCTAAAATCTTCGAATTCAATTTTGTAATTAAATTAAAGACATTAGTTCCATTTCATCCTAAAGCGAATTTTGTATTAACTTATTTTTAAAATTACTGGGTTTTAAAGACACTGCAAAAATTCATAATTCACGTTTCCAAGGATACAGAGAAATCTATTCATCCAGACAAGGGGTGTTTGCGAGTTCGTTATCGCTGTATTTTGATGTAGCAGTTATTAGTTACGTTTTGGTAGGGGTAGGGATGTATTTTTCAATGAATTCTGACATCCGTCAAATGCATGTCGTCTGGATTTTCTTTTTTTTAATTTTATTGTTAACGGCAAAAATTCTTACGGCATTTTTTTCTCTTTGTATACTTAAAGATTTTGGGGGACAGTTTAGGTTAGAATACGTTTTATTTAACTAAGATTTAAAAAAATATTTTCACTTTTAATTTTTAATATATTATATTTCTTTTTAAAACAAGTAAATGTATTAGAATTATTTACAGTATGTAAAATAATTTTCACATCAGGTATAAGTATGTATATTACCAGGTCACAATTCTTTTGAAAATTTATATTCATATATATATATATATATATATATATATATATATATATATATATATATATATAATGAAATGGAAAAGTTCAAAAATTATTTAAGACATATTTGAGTAAATGCTCTGTTTATAATAAACATTATTAACAACATTTACCGTCCTGAATGTCCGAGAAATTTTCATAGAAAATATGCGTTCTCTGACAGGAATCAAACCTGTATCCTATACGGAACCGCCATATAGCCTGACGTGCTTTAACCGATTGGGCCACAGAATCAAAATCGACCTTGCTAACCGAACGCTCCTCTTTGGATAAAAAATAATATCACTTAATAATAAAAAAAAATCGTTTGTTCTTTCCTTTTAATAATACCATACAGATTTTGACGATAAAATATTGTTTTTAAGTTTGGGGCATTTATTCATCATGGTATACTAATTTTTAGCGAATCAGTCTTGGTACCTATATAAAGCAACTAATTCAAAACTTTAAAAAAATTTTATAAAATTTTTAAAATTTTGATAGAAATTGCTGATATTATTTATCAAAACACACACACACACACACACACACACACACACATATATATATATATATATATATATATATATATATATATATATATATAAAAAAGAAATATGTTGTAGTGGTTCCAACGAGAGAAAAGTATGTATATTAAAAAGAAGAGGGGTGAAAATTCGGATTGCCAACACACAAACAGAATGTCTCATATCGAGAATATTCCACATTGAACATGAAGAAAAATTAATTATTTTTAATAATATGTAAAAATCTCCACTTTCACCTGAAGACGGTTGCGAGACCAGACCAGAAACACGTGTCGTGAAATTATGTAAAACAAAGTATAATATTTTTTCTCAATTAATCCACATTACAACCAAAAACGTTTGCGGCACCCCTCTTCTTTTTAATATATATATATATATATAGACTGTATTTTCCGGCTTACAAGACGCTGCGGCATCGAAGACGCACCTTAATATCGGAAAGAAATTTCTAAGAAAAACAAGTCATTCTCATACAACAACACATTCACCATGCGTCCCTCACTGGCGCCACGTATTGTTTACATTAATCATTCGTCCAATTTTGTTTGTATGGCAACGACATGCTAGTAGCAGAAAAGCTACCGCTGCTCCTAGTAAACAGAGCATATGACTCGGCTCCAGGAAGGTTTATAGTCTTGGAAATACCTGTAACAGCTAAGTACTGAGGTTATATCATATAAACGGCTGAATTAGATCGATAGCTAACATTATAGTGTAATGACTCAACAGAGAAATCCATTTTTCTATCAATCGAGCCAATTTGGTGACTTTACAAGCTTACTTGAGACTGGGCGTCACCTTACATTCGTCTTGGAAGACACACACGTAATTTTCAGGGTATTTTCTAGGAAAAAAGTGCATCTTGTAAGCCGGAAAATAATTAAATATTAAAAAAATTTGAAAAATGTATATATATATATGTGTGGGTGGGTGGATATGTGTGTGTGTGTATTTTATACATTATAAATTACATATCATATGTTATAATAAATATAATGAGCTCTCTCTGTGGATCAGTTTTAATATCTGATATTTCTAGGATCAACTTGGATCATATTCTATATATATATATATATATATATATATATATATATAAAAAATCAAAGTCGAGCACTCTAAATCTTTATTTTTAACAAGAAGAAAATATGGAGAAAATTAATTTCGGAATTTCTTGAAGAACATTCCTAATACCAAGAGAAAGGAATATTTCGTGATATTAATGAAAAAAACAGAGGAACTCATACGAAGGATGCGATGAAGAGCTTACTTCTTCCTTAATAAGAACGAATAACTACAAGGAAACTTACGGTTTTAACAGTAAAAAAGCAGCACCATTTATTCATAGTTTGTCCGATTTCGAAAAGGATCTACTGGAAATAATCAACAACATAAATTTCCATGATAAGAAATGCTACTTCCAGAAACGCCGAGATAAGATAGTAAAGGACATTCACGCTACAGACAAAATTTTAGTAAAATCCGACAAAACTGGAAACTTTTATAAAACAACCATAAAGGAATACAACGACCTAATAAATAAGGACTTGCATAAGAACTACAAGAAAGCGAATAAAAATGACACCAACAATAGTTCGGGATATCAATACTAGCAGTAAGGAAATCACTGATAAACTAATGATCAGTGATAGGGTAAGTCAACTTTACCAAAAAGAATGCTACATAACCTTAAAGGACCATAAACCAGATTTTGAGGCGAATCCTACTACAAGGATAATAAATCCTACAAAACCGGATATTGGAAAAATCAGTAAAATGATCCTTGAAAGGGTAAATAAACAAATTAAAGAAAAAGTAAGCCTGAAACTTTGGATTAATACCAAGGAAGTGATAAACTGGTTTACTAGCATAAAAGAAAAGAACAACTGTACACTAATGCAGTTTGACATTGATAATTATCACCAACAAATATCTAAAGAACTATTTTTGAATGCGTTGGACTTTGCCACCCACTATACGAATATTACAGATGAAGAAAAAAACATTATTCTATATGCGAAAAAATCGGTACTTATACATAAAGGTGAGCAATGGATTAAGAATTCTTATGACCACTTTGACATCACAATGGGATCACTAGACTCAGCTGAGTTTTCTGATCTCATTGATCTTTTTATATTATACAACCTTACAGCGCACCGTGATATGAATTGGTTTGTACAGAGACGATGAACTTATGGTTATTAGAAACTCAACTAACTTTAAAATAGATAGAATTAGAAAGGTTTTATATAAATAATTTAAAAGCATGGGCTTAAAAATTACGGTAAGCACTAAATTAAAAAAGTGAACTTCCTAGATATAACATTAGATCTAAATAAAAATACATACACACCTTATAAAAAAAACAACACCAGTCCTTTATATATACACCCTAAATTGAATCAACCCCATCTATAATTAAACATATACTGTTATCTATCAGTAAACGAATTAGTACAAATTCAGCAAATGACAAGATTTTCGATGAGCATATCAATTCTTATAATAAAGCTCTAAAAGAAGGTGACTACAAAACCCCAAATCTAACTTATATAAAAAATGAAAAAGCAAAGCATAGAAAAAACAGATGTAGAAAAATAATTTGGTATACGCCCCCATACAAGCAAATGGTAAAGAACAAATTAGGACAAAAATTCCTCGCATTAATAGTCAATCATTTTCCTAGTAAAAGTAAACTAAGTACTATTTTCAATAAAAACACACTAAAATTGAGTTACAGCTGTACGGAAAACTTAGAAAAAATTATTGAGAACCATAATGCTAATATCTTAAATAAACACTTATACCAAAATAAAAAAAATTAGACAATGGAAGAATAAAAATAAAAAACTGATGAAAATAAACAAAAATTATGTAACTGTAGAAACCCTCATAATTGCCCTCTACAAAATAAATGTCGCACTGAATCAATAGTATACCAATGCAATATCTCT